AGAGATTCTTCAAAATATGTACCCCTACAGCAGCAAGCACAAGCAAGCGAACTCGGGCGCAAACGCCTACAACGCGGGTATTTTCTGGTACATAACTAGGTGTACTGTGTCACCCAGGCCCCACGAACACATAGTGGCGCATCCTCGGAGACCCAGGGGCAGATAGTGGGTGCAAGGGAAAGCCTAAACGGGCGGAAAAATATGGCGCAAAGAAAAGTAAAGAACGGCGAGAAGAGCCCCTGGGGACAATGTCTTACCAGACCAGTTCCAAACGGTCGCCGCCGTTCTGACTTCTGATTGGTGCCAGGAAACGTTTGTGTTTTTCTGCCCAATCAGAAGTCAGAACGGCGGCGACCGTTTGGAACTGGTCTGGTAAGACATTGTCCCCAGGGGCTCTTCTCGCCATTCTTTACTTTTCTTCGTGCCATATTTTTCCACCCGTTTAGGCTTTCCCTTGCCCCCACTATCTGCTCCTGGGTCTCCGAGGATGACAGTGGCGCAGCACGACGTGGTTTTTTAAACCAGGTAGCTTAAAAATTCAGGCCAATATTTTTTGGGAATTGGTATTGTTTAATTAAAAATTGATTTTTGTATATTGAATGTAAAGAAAGCTCAATTGATTGTACAAGCGCATTAATAGGGCCATTTATACGAGGAAAAATAAGACGCGTCTTATTTTTCCTCGTATAAATGGCCCTAATGTTTGTCTCATCCACGCTAAGGCCGTCCAGAAATGCTATTGCTTCGCAAACTGTCATAAAAATGTAAATGAATAGTTTTTGCAGTTTAAAAAGTTTGCTCCGCTGTAAGCTATCATCCGTGTATAGGTTGCCCCGATTATTTAATCCTTCAGGGTCTTCGAGGGGCAAGCAATGAAACAGTTTCTGTTCTTTAATACCAACAGTCAAGGGCTTTTGGTGCTTACGAGCTACCTCCTTCAGGAGACTAAAGAGAACTCCTTTCATCCTGAATGAGGAGTGCCTATCGCATTTCTCATTCAAAACAGAGGAAGGGAAATAAATGAAAGGAGCTTTTGATAAGAAGAATTTTCTTTATGGGGATCAAAATATTCTAATCTCTTTTTTTTGGCTATATGTCATCTTTGATTGGTCAAATTAATAAAGCTAGAGCCACACCGAGATTGGTCTTCTGCACTACCTCAGTTTAGGGGCTTTTAAACCAACTCTCCGACAAGTATCCTCGCTCCTTTTACATAGGAATCTTTCCGAGACGAATTTAAAAGTACTTGAAAATTGCAGTCGGTGCTGGCAAGGCCTTGAATTTCAATGCTAACTTTATAGTTTAAGTAGAACTCCAAAGAGAAAGGAGCAAACAAAAAAGGACCTAGGGGATAAAATTACTCATGTTGTAGAAGAACTAAAAAAGACATAGACTCAAGGCTCTTTTTTGCACTGAATGGAGTCCTTAATTGAAAATAGGAAATGTGTCCTTGAAATTCCTTGAAAAGTCCTTAAGCTTTTTGTTCAAAAATGGTTATGAACCCTGGTGATAAAAGTATCATGGGATATACGTAAGAAACTTCATTTATCGCCGATGACGTGGAGAGTGGTCGCCCAGTCTCTCGAGCCAAGGGCTCATATATTAAACGCTCGACCGAAGGGGGAAAAAAGAACAACTAACTGTAAGTTAGTATATAAAATACAATCAAATAATGGATAATTTTCATAAATAAGGTATGAAGATCCTATGAAATATCTACTATATCACAATTAAAACTGGACCTGACTAAAAAAAACTTACTGACGGGGTAAAAAATAAATTTCATACAATATCATTATGAATTTCGTTAAAACCAAGCTACAAAATTCAGCTCTTACATCGAGATCCTTTATACTGTACATTTTTTATTAATAACCTAAATTGCTGGACGCTGGGAGCCCAGAGCGGGGAGGGGTGCAGTCTGGAAAGAGCAATACCGCCGAGGCAATCAAACTCTGAGCCTGTGTAAGACAAAAATTGCTCATTTCTCTACCCGGTTTAAGAGAGGAGTCACTATTTTCTAACCCTGATTTGTTTTGTTTTGCATACAGAATTGAGCAATTTTTGAAACTAAAATCGTGGAAATAGATATTTAGGATGAATGTTGGTTTTGCAAATGTAGACCGCTTACCTTTAAAATGCTTCCAAAAAAAAGAAAAATAGTTGTGCATAAAACGATTATTTTAAGAGGGCAGAGAAACATTTAATCCATTACTTCGTAGGTCGTAGTTGATATTTAACCCTAGGCATAAAAAAAAAATAGAAATTTAGTTAGGGCCATGCCGGGGGGCCATGCATCCCAAAACTTTGGAAGACCATCAGCGAGTGTTCAATACGTCTTTGTTCGAGTGAACTCAATGAGGTAATAGATAGGAAGACATCGTAAGTGGCTAAGTTCCCGAAGTTTAAAATAGTTCTCAATGCATAATGATTGGCACGTTTATTAATTAAGTTTGTTGTTCAAATGTTGGATACTGAGAGTTGTTGGAGAGCCTTTTGG